GCATGTTGCTCGATATTGTCGGATTTTCACAAAGCCTTGTGGCTGAAAACAAAGACCTTAAAAATTATACCAAAAAAGTTAGTTTTATTAAACCACTTAATTACAAAAATAAATGGAATGGAAGAAAAACCGAAACATACACCAAAATTCACATCCTAAGAAACGAGAGGTTACAGCAGAACGCTGGGGAAGCTCAGCTCAGCTGCTGGAACCGAGGCCCTGCAGTGCCGAGCTCACACCCCCATCCCAGTCCCCCACACCCCCCTGTCAGCGGCAGGTCCGAGGCAACGCACAACAACGGCCAAGGGAAGGGGCAGGAGCACCAGCTGCTGCAGCGCTGCAGGCAAAGCACCAGATGTGCAGCTTTGGAAGAAAACGGCGAGAGCAACCGAGTATCCCCCACCGCTCCGTGCCCCCCAGTCACCTCGAGGTTTTACTGGGCAGAACTACTGGCCAAGGTCAGCGCTGGCCCCGCGTTAGCTGGGGCTGGGCTAACAGAGAGGCGCTGTGTGAGCGCTGAACGGGGAATCGGACTGACTGCAGTGGGGCGCTGCTTCTGCCTGCAGCCTTGAGCAAGGGGCATCATCCACACCTCAGTCCGATTCCCCAGGCTGCCCCTTCCTCTTCGAAAAGGCAGAATCCTGCTCGGCACTGAGGGGCTCCTGAAAGCCCCCCCTGAACGATGGCGAGCAAGAAGTTCAAGTCTGTGACGCGCTCGACAGTGCAGACCCCTGTGTGAAAAATACTGTGAGATTCTTACTCTAAAGCAGAACGGAGGTTGTCGGGCACCATCCTGAGAGAGCTTTAAAGCAGCCAGAATGTCAATAAGCTTGGGAAGGAGGGTAAAAACCCCAAAACACTCACTGCCCCCACGTCTGGCTCAAGTTTATCCCAAACACACTCAAGTCCCACCCCTCCAGCGTGTACTGAGATTCACGGGGAAACAAACTGCATTTCTAATGAACTCTACACGTAACTGCCACGTACAAAGCAAACCTAATCCTAATTCGTTAGAGCAATCTATTTACTTATCACATTCTCTTAAGGGAGAGGAATGTCCCAGGGGTGGAGGAAGCACCGTGGCCATCCGGCGAGCAGACACCTGCACACGCAGTCCCAGTGCCTTCCCCCACCAGTGGGAGCTGCCTCCTCCGTACAGCAGCGGGAAGACACCGGGAGGACTGGGTCCAGCGGCAGAGGATCCTCTTCAGGAGTGCTCGGCGGGGCCTGCCCCGTGCCCGTTCACGTGAGGGTGCGACGGGGTCGAGCTCTGGGAGGGAGCAATGCTCTGCTCCGCGGTGGCAGCTGTCAGAGGCATGGAGAGGCTCTCGGGGGACAGCGTGGCAAAGTCTTGTCTCCAGTAGGCTTCGCACAGCGGAAGATCATTGCTGTCACACAGACTGTAGCTTTCCAGAACAAACAACCCCAGTAAGGAGACAGCAGGTGCAACGAGAGGAGGGGAGGGAGGGAAAGGGTGGGGGAAGCAAGACAGAAGCAAAGCGTTAAGAAAATGGCAAAAAAAAAAAAACTTTCATGGATGTCAGGTCTGTGATCACAAATTCACCACAAGTCTTGTGACTTCCCGGGACACTCTTAGGGCTGGTCTCGAACCTCGTGGCCTGGTGAGGACCAGGGGAATTTCAGCGACAGAACTGCTGCTACAGACTGAAACAGAGGCTCAATTCTAATCCAGATGCTTTTAGTCCCTGCAAAGAGCTGGGCTGAAGTCCTGGCCCCCCAAAGATGGGAGTTCTGCTACTGATTTGAGTGAGGCAAGGACCTCATCCATAACGATTTTACTTGGAATTAGATCACAACCTACGTGAGGGAAACCAAACAGAAATCCTGCTCTGAATTTCAGCTCCGCAGAAAAGCTAGCACAATTGTTTTAGGGCCTGCCCCTGTTGTGATACAGAATAAACCTATTTGCGCCCTTGGCCTTTCAATAAAATGTTCCACAGAACATCTGGGTCTTCTGTTGAAGCTCCCCAGCCTGATCATGAAGTACTGATGGCTCCTACCATTGTCAGCAGAACCTGAGCTAACAGTTCTTCTAGAAGTAGCTTGCTGGGTATGACCACTGTAGACTAGAGCTGGATGAACTAGCAGTGTGGGAAATAATGTTGTTAAACAACTGGCTAATTCTTGCCTGTGCTCTGAGGAGTGCAAGGGCCAAAACTAAAAAGAAAAATGATGGGAGAAACTGGAACAAAACCAAACCAAATTCCAAAGAGAGGAAGGAGCTGCACACACAAAGAAACACCCAAGATAAAGTGAGTGCTGGAGCGGAAAGCAGCTTGCGTTCAGAGTAAAAGAAACCCAATGGGTCAAGTGATTTTGTTGTTGCAGCTTTATTTATATTTTTTATGTATGGACTTGAATAGATGCTTAGGGAAATACTGTAAGTGTAGAAATACGAGACAGTTCAAATTGCACAAACATGAAACATGTTGAGATCTAACCCCACACTCAAGACAGCTCCTGGGATCTCAGAGGAGGGAGCAACAGAACAGAAACACAAGTTTGGGGTTTAGGATGAGAGAAGGCAAGCTGGGCTTGAGTTACCACTTTGGGGAACAAGCACACAAAGCACTAGCTGCAAGCATCTACTTCTGAGCTCCCTTCTGGCAGCATCACCCAGCTAGTTTTGGAGTGGAAGTGAGGAGGCAGCGGATACAGGTTTTATATCTGGGGCCTTTGTAAAAACCCCTTGGAAGATCACTCGTCCCTACAGTCCCCAACACACAGTGAAGCCGGGTTCAATTAGCAAAGACCTTCAGGACTGAACCAGGACTACGACTCCTTTTCTGTCAAGTCTTGGACCTCGGGACATGGTTTCCAAGGAGAACCTGGCCACAGCATCCACCCCATCTGGGCAAGGGAGTGACTAAGAAAACTTCAGCTGCGCTAGAAGCGTAACTGCTTCTCCTCCTGCCCCAGTCAGAACAGTTCCAAAAGTCTAAGCTTCGTCTTTCACGCAACGCTCCTCAAAAGTCAGGGTGAACGAGCAGCTACTACCCAGCCCACCACAGCACTGCCCAGCCGGCTACTCCGTCCCTTGCCTGGGGGTCTGTCAGTGCGCGGGAGGGGTTCACTACTGCCCCTGGGGGCACGCAGCCGGGTCTGTGTGCAGGGGAGCAGCTCCAGGAAACCATTGGAGCGCAGGGACTGAAAGCAAAGGTTCCTTCAGAACAAACTACTCGGCTTTAGTTTCCAGGACCTGCTTTCAGGTCTCCTCATCAAAACCCCCACGTGCACAGAAAAAGCCCAGCAAGGAAACCTGACCCTACAGCCGAGGTCCATCCTGTTAGTTACTCCCCGTGGGCAAGGGGCTGCCTCCTCAGCCCCTCAGCACAGCGGCAGTGACATTCCCCGGGCAGGAGACGTTCCCTTTCTCGGGCTTTTCGCGGGGAGCAGTGCACAGGGACCAGAGAAGCTACAGAGCACGGGGCAGCTCTCAGCTCCGCAGCGCCTGGAGGTGTGCTGCTGCAGGGAGCTCGCTTTTCTATAGCCTTCCCTGGAGGGACAACCTAAAATAAACTAACCGGTGGCCTTCAGGGAAACCGAAGCATGGGGGAGCAGTTTGGCTGCACGGAACCCGTGTCCTGAGCTCATGGGACCGCACACCTCTGTAAATCCCATGGGATCAAGCCCCACAGGAAAATAACAGAGGGTGCAGAGAGGCAATCCCAGCTGGGCTCGCGGGACAGCACAGAATGCCCACGTGTGGGCAAACCAGCCATTGCATTTACAGCCATGATTATCACCCTATGACCATGTGACAAAACAGAAACCCTTTTTCCCCACACTGGACAATAAGGTTTCATTAAAAATATCTCAGTGCTCTAATTATAAAAGGACTTTGAATAAATCACTGTTCCTATATTTACACACACACACAATTTCTTTGGTGCAGAAAAAGACAGGAAAGAGCACAGGAAGGGAGTAAGTGCTGAAAGCAAACATCTAAGTGCTATATGACAACAAGTTTCAGGGGAGGGAGCACAGCTCGGTAGAGCTGCCAAGTTTCCTCACCTCGTGACCACTCTTGTAAGAAAGAGCATGAAGGCAAATGCACGGGGTGTATGCCAACATCTGTGCTTAGACGTTAGTTCTGTTCCAAAGGGCTGCTTTACACGGCATCTGGTGCCGGGCAGGTGAACAGACCACGCCAGCATGGTCAGGACCCCTTAGTCCAGAAGTTAAAGCTACCGACACACAGTGGTGGCAGTCTGGTGACAGCGTGAGAGAAGCACGTCTGGCACACGTGAGGCACTATCATCTCACACCTCCTCTTTGGACACAGCTTGCTGCTATGCTGCATGCAGCCCACGTAGTGGACGCAGCCCTGACCTATCAGGGCCTGGACTGGTGCTTGGGTTTGCGACCATCGCTCTTCGTTTCTGAGATACTTCTAGGATTCCTCACCACCCCGCCCAAAAAGTGAGCAGAGTTTGAAAAACAACTCTAAACTTTTACCTCTAGTTTTCTTCCAGTGTCGCAGCAGTTCCTAAGCTATGTCTTATCAATATCTTTTTTTACTCTTAAAATACATGTATTACTCATAAACAATGGCCTAACTTCCAAAGATACTGAGCAATTAGGGCTTTAGGTGACTCAGCTGGGGTTATAGGCATTCAGCATTTTTAGAAAGAAGGGAAAGGCAAAAATAGAAAACCTGGTCATTAAAATTTTAAATAAGATTTTGAAAAGTTAAGTTTTTTAAAAAATCACGGCATTATTGCACTGACTTCGCTTAGCTTGCACAGTGCAGCCGAAATAATCAGATTCTTATTTGCTTTCTCCTGCTTTTATTTACTGCATCATCAACTAGAAGTGCTGGAGTGCATGATAGAAAATAAAACTAAAAAATATAAAGTGTCTGAACTCTCTAAAGCCTGTTTGCTAAGAGTCTTTTTTAAAAATATTTAAAATCCCACAAACAAATCAGTAATGAGTCTTCCATAGAAAATCCTATCGTAATACTTCATAATTCAATGAAACAGAGCATGTCTTTCCTGCTCATTTCAAATGTTGCCCCCAACAGGACTCCAGGCAGCTGGGGGTAAAGGGAAAAGGCACACTGTGTAACCAGGTCACTTGTGAAAGAGCTCACCACGAAGGCGTGGTGATCCCATCTAACATGAGGACCCAGCTTAGCAAGCTAGTCTCTCTAGGGAGAGAGGGAGGCTCCTCCAGAGGGATACTCAGACTGAAGCCTATACCCCCAGGGAAATTCATCTCCTTTTACAACGATTACAAAAGAAGCCTGAGCAAATTCTCTGTCAAATCTAGCCAACTAAAGCAGGCACCTAGAGCTGGATGCTGCAAATACCTCCTTCATCATGGCATTTATACCTCACAGGCTATCTACAAGGAAAAGGCAGTTGCTTTAGTTGCAGAAAAAGTCTGACTTAATTAAAAACAAGACTGAAATTTTGTTGGGAACATTCTCAAGACCTATACTCCAAGGACTACTTGTTTGTCTGGACTAACTACCCCAAAAGGACTGGAGTCATAAGGCAGAAGTCCACTGCCCTATTTGTACCTGGAAGAGTAATATTCTTCTTCTAGCTCGTACAGGTCAATGGAGATCTCATCCCGTAGTGCAATCAACTTCTTGTCACATTCCTCCTGTAAGCTCCTCAGCTGCTGGTTGCGCTGGTTGATAGCTTCATTCACAGAGGGGAAATCATTGAGGATCAAGAACTGCTTCAGGTCGGACACAAGTTTCATCAGGGACTCACCAGCTCGGACCTTGTAGCAAGGAGAAAAATCACATAGCACATGGTACATCAAAACAGTGCTTCGCTCCAATGCCCAAACAAGATCTCCCAAGCTGCTCCCTCAGCCCAAGCTTTGAATTAAGGAGAAACTCCCACATTACGTGAGGATTCTGACAGAAGCCTGTAGCTGACCAGCCAGGCTTCCCCAGCCACCCCAAACATCAGGTTACCCTTCCAGCAGCAGTCCTCCTGGATGTTATAAAGGCTGTCCTAGATGCAATAATGACTCCAACAGTACCTGATGCACGTGCTGCCCGCTGATTTGAACAGCAGAGCGCTACTCACAATGTTTGCAGCTCTGACGTGCATCTCATAGTTATCTTGTTCGCCCTGGGTTGCTCGAGAGACTTGGGTTTCATCCTCAATCTAAAGAAAAAAGTATACATATCCACCTTTACATACTAAGATCCTGATAGATGATTACTACATTATAAGGCATTCTCACCTGGAATCCCTGTGGCAGCCTCTGGACTCTATAGCACCTACGTATCATCCTTGGTACCCCTCCACCCACTTGCTTCTGCCCCCTTCACAGCAGCATCGCTTGGCTGCCCGGAGGGTGGAGGCAGGGAGGCCAGCAGCAGCCGGGGAGAACTGCCCACGGCCCACCCTGGGGAGAAACCTCTCTTCCCTCACGGCTGCCCTCGGCGGAACAGGGAGAAAGGTCCCTCAGGGCCTGTCTCCCCTCAGATCCCTTGCTCTCCCCTCAGAGCCCTTCTCCCCTCAGATCGCTTGCTCTCTCCTCAGGGCCTGCCTCCCCTCAGATCCCTTGCTCTCTCCTCAGGGCCTCTCTCCCTTCAGGGCCTCTCTCCCCTCAGATCCCTTGCTCTCTCCTCAGGGCCTCTCTCCCCTCAGATCCCTTACTCTCCCCTCAGATCCCTTACTCTCCCCTCAGGGACCCCCGTCCCTCCTCAAACCCGCCCCCGGGGTAAACCCGTCCCTCTCCTCTCAGGAGCCCTAGTGCTCCCGCGGGGGCAGCCCCCTCCCCTCGGAGCTCCGCTACGACCCAGGCCCCCACCTTAGCAGTCTTGATGATCTCCGTGAAGTTGTCCATGATGGACTTGATGTCGTCCTTGAGGCGCTTGTTGTAGGACTGCAGCAGGGTCTCCTTGCTCTGCGGCAGCA